CCAACTCAACACACCTCAAAGAAAACTGATTTCAAAAAATAATGATCACCAGTCCTCTGAAAATCAAACTGAGCAACCAAACACTGAATCTCACAACATTTGAAAATCTTGGCCACTGTCCCTTTAAGCCACAGAAGGTTGTTCATTTCAAAGTCAACCAGTGCAGCACACGAGGATCAATTCAAGAGGACACAGTCACACACATATGGAAGGTTTCAAGTACACTAATGTCTCCTTTCCAATTCCATGCCTTACACGGTCCCTTTTCCTCTACCCCTTTAGCCTGAAGTCTCTTCTTCATTGCTCTCCTTTCACCTTCCTTAAATCACTATAATCCCACTTGTTCAGCACTTCCTACCAGCTATAACATCTGAAGAACCCTCATTTTCTGTCTATTGTAACTGTTACTCAGGATAGTGGCTTAACAAAACCGGGGGAATTAAATTTGATACATCTCACCCAGCTGTAAAGCTGCCACATATATCTAAGATGCTTTTCAGTTCATCCTCCCCAGAGACCCCTGGTTACAAGACTTAGTAGAGTAGTTTCTCAAAGTTGAAATTGGTAATACTTTTTCCTTTCCTAGCACCTTCAATTGCAGGATCTCAAATCACTTTCCAGACAGGGCATTAATCTTCACATTTCCCTAAGACAGACAGATGTGTTAGTCCTATTTCGCAGATCAGGAAACTCAAGAACAAGAGAAGTGAAGTGACTTAGTTAAAATCAACAAGAAACGTGTGGCAAAGCCAGAACTCCAACCTCTGTGCTGCAGCCATCCCTTCTCCTCCAAATGAGATTTGGAAAGAACAATTCTCTTTGTTAGAGATGTCTGTTCACTGTAATCTTTCCAAAATGAAGAAGTAAACTACCTATCATCCTGCAAGCTAAAAGTGATTCAGTTCCAACACTAGGCCGCTGTACCAAACTGCCCCTGGAGAATTACATTATAGAGGTACTACTGATATCCTGGGTAAGCAGCACCATCCAGTGGAGAAAAACTTCATTCACTCAGAAACCTTTTGCTATTCCACTAACTCCCGCTCCATGCTGTTTGCAATGGATCAGTTCCTGCACACTTTTTGCCCAACTGCAGCCCTGGACGTGAAGCTGAACTAGAAGTTCTGAAACTGTGGTCCATGGAGCACTCAATAATTATGGGCAGAGAGCTGGTTGGTGATGTGCTACTGGCTCTTTTCCTTGTCTCCAGCTGCTAAACTGCACTAGGAGATGGCTAAAAACCATCTACAGATGTTCTAGGCATCCTTTCCTTGCCCTCCCATCTATAGTCTCTTGTTTTAGATTATTCTTTTTGAATTACCGTAATACCTAGGAGCTCCAATCATGGACCAGACCTTGTTGTGTTAGGTGCTGTACAAGCCAAAACAGTCCCTGCCACAAAGAGCTTACAATCTAAGTAGACAGGAGACAACAGATGGCTACAGACTGACAGGGCTGTACAAGGAAACAACATGACAATATTGTACCGTATGATAGGTGGTATACTCTGCACATCAGCACCCTGACCATTGTCAATTTTTTTTTACGCATCATGGTACAGGAGAGTTTTGAGGAGGGTTTTGCAAAAGGAGAACGAGATGGCTTTTCAATTGTTATGGGAAGCACCTGCCGAGCGTGAGGGGCATCCTGTGAGAAAGCAAACGATCTTAGTTTGAAAATGTAATAAGTGGGTGAGGGAGGAGAGCATCATGAGCTGACAGGATGCAAGAGCTGACATCTTGATATGAGAGATGACAGGTAGGAGGAGGGGGAGCCAGTGGAGGGATGCAAAGAGAGGTGTGCCATGCTTAAAACAACAGGCTAGGAAAATGATCTTTACAGCAGCATTTTGAATAGATAAAAGCATGGCAAGATTGCTTTTGTCAAGTCCAGAGAGAAGGACGTTGCAGTAATTGAGAACCAAGAGAATGAGAGCTTGGACAAGAGTTTTAGCTATGTGCATGGATAAGAAATAGTTCTCCTCCTCTCTTTTGGACTAAATATTGATAATACAGTGATTGAAGTTGTCCAGAACTGCACACACAAAAATGCATGTGCATAATCTGCCTTCACAATTACCACAAGCTAGTCACACATACAGAGTTCTGGCAAACCCTACGTAATTAGATTTATCCTTTAAAGAAGTATTTCAGTGCTTCCCTGCACATGCAAGGATAAACGTTAACACAGCACTAAATTTTTAATTATTGTACATTGGATACTGCACAATTCTGAATAACCATTCTGATGGGGACTTACATGTAATTGTGCTCTCTGTGTATAGCTTTCTTCAAATCAACTCAGAGGTATGTCTCTCAAATTAAAAAAAAAAATCTTAAGTTTCATTACATATTCTGGCCCCAGTCCTGCAGAAACATATTATTTATATTTGACATTAAAAGAAAAAAAGAATTCAAAAGCTTTGAGTGTCCCAATAAATAATTAAACTTTCAATAACCATCTAAGGGCATTAAAAACTATTTTATATATTCTGTTAACCAATACATGCTGGCTAGTCTCTTGAATATACTTCATAACCAACTGAAGCGTGGTCAAGCAAATGGCTGTACAATTTATCAACAGTTTCTTACAGTATCCTCATCAACTTAGTATCTAAGCACTTCTGAATGGCACATTATGCAATGTGACTAACATCTGTCATGTGTTTGTTCTTTCATCCTCTCCCCAGGGGATGAGAGTATACAATGAAATGTTTAGTTTTAGGTGTTATATATTTCTGATACACACACTGCTATATATGTTAGAGAAGGGAGATACAGAAAAATACATTTTGCACTTGGAATCATAGAAGATTAGGGTTGGAAGAGACATTAGGAGGTCATCTAGTCCAATCCCCTGCTCAAAGCAGGGCCAACCCCAACTAAATCATTCCAGCCAGGCTTTGTCAAGCTGGGCCTTAAAAACCTCGAAGATGGAGATTCCACCACCTCCCTAGGTAACCCATTCCAGTGCTTCACCATCCTCCTAGTGAAATGATTTTTCCTAATATCCAACCTAGACCTCCCCCACTGCAGCTTTAGACCATCGCTCCTTGGAAGAGGAAGGTAGAAAGGACTGTGATGATCCTTTGTTCCTGGGGGAGTTCATTCCTGTCTTGGACCAGCCCTCAAGAAAGTTCTGTCTCCTGCAGAGATGAGCCTCTCTCTTAGGCGATGTCTACACTACACAGCTTTTAGTGACATGTCTGTATCGCCACACCCATGCTGCTAAAAGTTATGCAGTATAGACGCTGTTTGTCGGCTCTCCTGCCAACAAAATACTTCTACCTCCAATGACTGGCGTTTGTATCGTCAGCAGGACTGGCACTTGTTGCGGCAAAACTTTTGTTTTTTTCTTGGGGGGGGGGGGGGGGGAGAGGGGAATACCTGTGAAAGACACATATAGACATAGCCTTTGAGATTTCCATTGCAGCAGAAGACCAAAGTTGCTGATCACAGTCTTCATCTTGGAACTTTAGTTGATCTTCTCCGTATCCTGGGCCCATGCCCTTGAGTGCTTTGAAGATAAGTACTGAGACCTTGAACTTGATTCCATCACCCAGCGGCATTAAATAATCAATTTGTGGTAACAGTTTACCTCACACTCAATTAAAAAAAGCCTCTCACACAAGAACGAATGCCCTCCTTATGCAAAAGTGCTATAATACAAATGTTTAACATTAAGCACAAATCCCGTTGAGTTCAGCAGGGTTATTTCAAGTATGTTCTTGTCTTTATACATATGTATAAATCTTCATACAGTCAGGGTACTCTCTCACTTAGATACTATGAAGTTTTGTTCCAACTACAGAAAATCCCTCTCGCCATCACTGGGTATAAGGCAGCGTTCATTTCCTGTCCTAAATTGCTGTGAACCGTTACACAGTTGCCACCCTTCCTCGCCAGAGACGGCTGTGTTTCACCACTGCGTCCATGTGCGCGCTCACATCATAGAGCAGTGTCGGAGCACGCACCACAGGCCATGATGAGAAGCGTTTTCCCCTCTGACAGGTGGCTCTTTTAGTGAGGGCAGTAGAGGGGGAGAGAAGGGACGCTGGTGTGGGAAACAACCTCATGGGGGCCCAACAACACAGCTTGGGGCCCCGCCCAGCGCCCCTGCCCACAGAGCGGCTGGGGCCCAGTGCTCACCCTGCCCAAAGGCCCACAGAGGGGCCCAGCAGGCAGGACCCCCATAGGGGCCCCAAGAGGTCCAGGCACCTCCCCACTCGCTCCCCCAATGCCTGGAACTAGGCAGGTTCGTTCCTCCCTCCCCCACCCACCGCTTTGGTAGCACCCAGGGGCCCCTCCCAGCCTCCCAACCGCTGTGCCAGGGCCACCAGGCGCCCTGGGCGGGGCAGGGAGCCAGGGTGTCAGAGGAGACATAACGCAGCCTGGCGGGGCGCCCCCACCCCCCGAACAGTGGTATCTCCCTACCCCTCAGAGTAGCTCCTTCCATCGAGTCCACCCTTTCATCAGGGACACGCTCCCCTTCCCGCCCCCAACATCCCTGGCGGTGTCTTCCACCGCCTCATCGCTTTTGGTTTCCCCCCGCACCCCTCCTGCGTAGACCGTGGCAGCTCCCCCTTCCCAGACACATAATGGTTTCTCCCTTCACCCGACTTGCCGGCTCTAACCCCCTCCGCAGCCCCGCTACTCACGCTCCGCCAGCATCGCCATCTTTGGGGCCTTCTAAGCTACCGGCGCGCAGAGCCCTACGTTCACCGGCCGGCGCCGCCATCTGGGGAGAATGGGGCCCTCTTTCCCTTGGGCGCAGAATAGGGCGCCGGAAGATGTGCCTGACTTAAAAGGGAAGGCGAGTCAAAACAAGGCGCTTTTCTAAGGGGGAAGCGGGGCGTGTTAGGGACGTAGGAGAAACCCATTGCGATTAAAAGGCTCACCCACCCCCGGTTCTGCGTGGAAGCTACACGGGCAACTGCCGGGCAGCCCCATTCACAGTGCCAGGGCTGCCCGGGTGGGGCTCTCAAATGGATTCTGCCTGGATCTAGGGGGCTTCTGGGGGGGGTGTCATAAATATAAAGGGAAGGGTAAACCCCTTTGAAACCCCTCCTGGCCAGGGGAAAGCTCCTCTCACCTGTAAAGGGTTAAGAAGCTAAAGGTAACCTCGCTGGCACCTGACCAAAATGACCAATGAGGAGACAAGATACTTTCAAAAGCTGGGAGGAGGGAGAGAAACAAAGGGTCTGTGTCTGTCTGTATGCTGGGTCTTTGCTGGGGATAGACCAGGAATGGAGTCTTAGAACTTTTAGTAAGTAATCTAGCTAGGTATGTGTTAGATTATGATTTCTTTAAATGGCTGAGAAAAGAATTGTGCTGAATAGAATAACTATTTCTGTCTGTGTATCTTTTTTGTAACTTAAGGTTTTTCCTAGAGGGGTTCTCTATGTTTTTGAATCTAATTACCCTGTAAGATATCTACCATCCTGATTTTACAGGGGGGATTTCTTTATTTCTATTTACTTCTATTTTTTATTAAAAGTCTTCTTGTAAAAAACTGAATGCTTTTTCATTGTTCTCAGATCCAAGGGTTTGGGTCTGTGGTCACCTATGCAAATTGGTGAGGCTTTTTATCCAACATTTCCCAGGAAAGGGGGGGTGCAAGTGTTGGGAGGATTGTTCATTGTTCTTAAGATCCAAGGGTCTGGGTCTGTAGTCACCTAGGCAAATTGGTGAGGCTTTTTACCAAACCTTGTCCAGGAAGTGGGGTGCAAGGTTTTGGGAAGTATTTTGGGGGGAAGGACGCGTCCAAACAGCTCTTCCCCAGTAACCAGTATTAGTTTGGTGGTGGTAGCGACCAGTCCAAGGACAACGGGTGGAATATTTTGTACCTTGGGGAAGTTTTGACCTAAGCTGGTAAAGATAAGCTTAGGAGGTTTTTCATGCAGGTCCCCACATCTGTACCCTAGAGTTCAGAGTGGGGGAGGAACCTTGACAGGGGGCTACCCCGCCCTCACACCCACAGCGCCTTGCGCGGACGAGGGAGGAGCCCACTGGGCCCAGTGCCGTGTGGGGCGCGTGGCTGGCCGCCGTGATGCGCGCTCGCCCGGCCCCGTGACTCGCTGTCCTCAGGCCACCTCCTCTGGTTGCTAGCTCAAGGTTCCTTCCCCACTCCGAACTCTAGGGTACAGATGTGGGGACCTGCATGAAAAAAAACCCCTAAGCTTATTTTTACCAGCTTAGGTTAAAACTTCCCCAAGGTACAAACTAGTTTCCTTTTTCCCCTTGGACTTTATTGCTGCCAACACCAAGTGTCTAACAGATATATAACCAGGAAAGAGCCCACTTGGAAACATCTTTCCCCCCAGAATCCTCCCCAAACCCTACACCCTCTTTCCTGGGGAAGGCTTGATAAAAATCCTCACCAATTTGCATAGGTGAACACAGACCCAAACCCTTCGATCTTAAGAATAATGAAAGGTTTCAGAGTAACAGTAGCTACAGCTCACTTCATCGGATGCATACTGTGGAAAGTGTAGAAGATCTTTTTATACACACAAACCATGAAAAAATACCTCCCCCCCACCCCACTCTCCTGCTGGTAATAGCTTATCTAAAGTGATCACTCTCCTTACAATGTGCATGATAATCAAGTTGGGCCATTTCCAGCACAAATCCAGGTTTTCTCTCTGCTCCAACCCCTCAGACAGAGACAAACACCTACAAGATCTCTATCAAGCATTCTTACAACTACAATACCCACCTGCGGAAGTGAAGAAACAGATTGATAGAGCCAGAAAAGTTCCCAGAAGTCACCTACTACAGGACAGGCCTAACAAAGAAAATAACAGAATGCCACTAGCCGTCACCTTCAGCCCCCAACTAAAACCCCTCCAACACATTATTAAGGATCTACAACCTATCCTGAAGGATGACCCAACCCTCTCACAAATCTTGGGAGACAGGCCAGTCCTTGCCTACAGACAGCCCCCCAACCTGAAGCAAATACTCACCAGCAACCACATACCACACAACAGAACCACTAACCCAGGAACCTATCCTTGCAACAAAGCCCGTTGCCAACTGTGCCCACATATCTATTCAGGGGACACCATCACAGGGCCTAATAACATCAGCCACACTATCAGAGGCTCGTTCACCTGCACATCCACCAATGTGATATATGTCATCATGTGCCAGCAATGCCCCCTGCCATGTACATTAGTCAAGCTGGACAGTCTCTACGTAAAAGAATAAATGGACACAAATCCGATGTCAAGAATTATAACATTCATAAACCAGTCGGAGAACACTTCAATCTCTCTGGTCACGCGATTACAGACATGAAAGTTGCTATATTACAACAAAAAAACTTCAAATCCAGACTCCAGCGAGAGACTGCTGAATTGGAATTCATTTGCAAATTGGATACAATTAACTTAGACTTGAATAGAGACTGGGAGTGGCTAAGTCATTATGCAAGGTAACCTATTTCCCCTTGTGTTTTCCTACTCCCCCTCCCCCAGATGTTCTTGTTAAACCCTGGATTTGTGCTGGAAATGGCCCAACTTGATTATCATACACATTGTAAGGAGAGTGATCACTTTAGATAAGCTATTACCAGCAGGAGAGTGGGGTGGGGGGAGGTATTTTTTCATGCTTTATGTGTATAAAAAGATCTTCTACACTTTCCACAGTATGCATCCGATGAAGTGAGCTGTAGCTCACGAAAGCTTATGCTCAAATAAATTGGTTAGTCTCTAACGTGCCACAAGTACTCCTTTTCTTTTTTTAAGAATAATGAAAAAGCAATCAGGTTCTTATAAGAAGAATTTTAATTGAAGAAAAAGTAAAAGAATCACCTCTGTAAAATCAGGATGGTAAATACCTTACAGGGTAATCAGATTTAAAACAGAGAATCCCTCTAGGCAAAACCTTAAGTTACAAAAAGACATAAAAACAGGAATCTACATTCCATTTAGCACAGCTTATTTTATCAGCCATTTAAACAAAACAGACTAACGCATCTCTAGCAAGATTACTTACTAAGGTCTAAGACTCCATTCCTGTTCTGTTCCCGGCAAAAACATCACACAGACAGAGAGAACCTTTGTTTCTCCCTCCCACAGCTCCAGCTTTGAAAGTATCTTGTCTCCTCATTGGTCATTTTGGTCAGGTGCCAGCGAGGTTATCCTAGCTTCTTGACCCTTTACAGGTGAAAGGGTTTTTCCTCCGGCCAGGAGGGATTTAAAGATGTTTACCTTTCCCTTTATATTTATGACACGCCACCCAAATCACAGATAGGGTGAAACGCTGGCTGTGATTTCTTCCTGGAGCTCTAGGGGAAAACAGAGTTAATAAGACACATGCACCTCTAAATATACTACCAACAATATTTTCCACATCTCAAGAACGATTTTAACCAGTTGATTCTGGGAAACTTTCACGGGAGAGTGCATCAGCCACTTTGTTAGAAGATCCTGAGATGTGTTGGATGTCGAAATCAAAATCTTGGAGAGCTAAACTCCACCAAATAAATTTTTTTGTTATTTCCGTGGCAGTATGAAGCCTCTATAGTGCAGCATGGTCTGTTTGCAGGTGGAAACGCTGTCCCCAAACATATGGGCGTAGCTTTTCCAGAGCGTAGACAATGGCGTAACATTCTTTTCCACTGACTGACCAGTTGCTTTCCCTCTCAGACAGCTTCTTGCTGAGAAACACTACAGGGTGGAATTCTTGATCCGATCCTTCCTGCATTAAAACTGCTTCCACACCACGCTCGGACGCATCTGTGATTATTAGGAATGGTTTGTCAAAGTCTGGGGCCCTTAGTACAGGATCAGACATGAGTGTCGCTTTAAACTGGTTAAAGGCCTTCGGACACTCTTCGGTCCACTGAATGGCATTTGGCTGTTTCTTTTTGGTTAGGTCTGTCAGTGGGGCGGCGATTTGGCTGTATTGCGGTACAAATCGCCTGTAATATCCGGCCAAGCCTAAGAAAGATTAGACCTGTTTCTTTGACTTTGGGACAGGCCACTTTTGGATAGCATCCACTTTGGCCTGTAGGGGGTTGATAGCTCCTTGACCCACCTGGTGTCCAAGGTAAGTCACTCTGTTTAGGCCTATTTGACACTTCTTAGCCTTAACAGTTAGTCCTGCCTCCCTTCTGTGCTCAAAGACTTTTTGTAGATGTTCCAGGTGTTCTGCCCAGGAATCTGAAAATATGGCCACATCGTCAAGGTAGGCGACTGCATATTCTCCTAATCCCGCTAGGAGACCATCTACAGGTCTTTGGAAGGTGGCGGGTGCATTCCGAGGCCGAAAGGGAGTACATTAAATTCATACACCCCGACATGGGTGGTGAAGGCTGACCTTTGCTTGGCGGATTCATCTAGCAGTACCTGCCAGTACCCCTTGGTTAAGTCCAAGGTAGAGATGAACTGGGCCCATCCCAGTTTCTCTAATAGTTCATCTGTGCGTGGCATTGGATAGTTGTCTGGGCGAGTTACAGCATTTAGCTTACAGTAGTCCACGCAAAAACGTATCTCCCCAGCTGGTTTGGGAACTAGAACCACTGGAGATGCCCATGCACTTCCAGAGGGGCGGATTACACCCATCTGTAACATATCCTGGATCTCCCGTTCTATAGCAGTGTTAGCTTGAGGAGACACCCGGTAAGGCTGGACTTTAATTGGGTGAGCATTACCTGTGTCAATGGAGTGGTATGCCCGTTCAGTCAGTCCTGGAATGGCTGAGAACATCGGCGAGTAGCTAGTACATAGCTCCTTGATCTACTGTCGCTGCATACTCCCAAGGGTCATGGAGAGGTTCACCTCTTCCACGCCACCAGCACTTTTCCCTTCATAGTGGACACCTTCAGGCCACTCAGCGTCATCTCCTCCCTGGGCTGTAAACTGACAAACCTTTAATTCTCTGGAATAAAAGGGCTTTAGAGAATTAATATGGTACACCTTAGGCTTTCGGTTTGAGGTGGGGAATGCTATGAGATAATTAACAGCTCCCAGGTACTCCTGGACCATGAATGGCCCTTCCCACGATGCTTCCATTTTATGGGCCTGGAGCGCCTTTAAGACCATGACTTGGTCCCCTACTTTGAAGGAACGCTCTCTGGCATGTTTATCATACCAGGCTTTTTGCTCTTTTTGAGCATCCTGTAGGTTTTCTTTAGCAAGGGCTAAAGAGGTTCAGAGGGTGTTTTGTAGGTTGGTTACAAAGTCCACAATGTTAGTTCCTGGAGAAGGTGTAAACCCCTCCCATTGCTGCTTCACCAACTGTAATGGCCCCTTAACCTCGTGGCCATATACAAGTTCAAATGGTGAAAACCCTAAACTGGGATGTGGTACAGCTCTGTAGGCAAAGAGCAACTGCTGCAACGCTAGGTCCCAATCATTGGAGTGTTCATTTACGAATTTACGTATCATGGCCCCCAAAGTTCCATTAAACTTCTCCACCATGCCATTTGTTTGATGGTGGTAAGGAGTGGCAACCAAGTGATTTACCCCATGAGCTTCCCAAAGGCTTTCCATAGTTCCTGCCAGGAAATTAGTTCCTGCATCTGTGAGGATGTCGGAGGGCCAACCTACCCTGGCCAAAATGTCTGCTAGTGCCTGGCACACCCTTTTAGCCCTGGAGTTGCTTAGAGCTACTGCTTCTGGCCATCGGGTGGCAAAATCCATGAAAGTCAGTATGCACTGCTTTCCTCTGGGTGTCTTTTTCGGAAAAGGACCCAGAATATCCACAGCTACTCACTGAAATGGAACTTCAATGATGGGGAGTGGCTGGAGAGGGGCTTTGACCTGGTCTTGGGGTTTTCCCACTTTTTGGCATACCTAACAAGACCGGACATAGGTAGAAACATCCTTGCCCATTCCCTCCCAGTGGAATGACCCCCCCAAACGGTTCTTTGGTCCTGTTCACCCCAGCATGGCCACTAGGATGATTGTGGGCTAAGCTCAAGAGCTTGACCTGGTACTTAGTTGGAACTACCAACTGTCTCTGAGGATGCCAGTCTTCCTGGTGTCCACCAGAAAGAGTTTCCTTGTATAAAAGTCCTCTTTCTACAACAAACCTGGATCGATTAGAAGAGCTGAGAGGTGGTGGGTTGCTCCATGCCGCCATCCAAGCTCTCTGGAGGCTTTCATCTGCTTCCTGTTTGGTCTCAAATTGTTCCCTTGATGCTGGAGACATCAGTTCCTCATTGGATTGTGGACCTTGGGTTGGTCCCTCTGGAAGTGATGTAAGGGATGGGGCTGTTTCCGTTGACTGTGCACCACTCTCCGATGGTGCACTATGTTGGGGTTCAGGCTCCGGCTGAGCCCCTGGTGTAGGGTTATCGGCTGCTGCCGGTTCAGGTTTGGTGGGACACTCTGGTTTTGGGGTTGCAAGTACTGGATTCAGTGCCAGCAATGGGTCTGGTGCTGGTTGTTCCGCTGGTTCCTGTTCTGGGACTGGCTCTGTCTGGGTCTCTGGGACTGGATCCACTACTGCTGTTGCAGACATTGGCCTGGGGTCAAGGTCCATCACCTCTGACAGGGTCCTGGTAGAAGTTTCCGGAACAGAGGTAGGCATGACGGCTTGCTTAGTCTGGCTGCGGGTGACCATTCCCACCCTCTTGGCTAGCTTCACATGATTGGCCAAGTCTTCCCCCAACAGCATGGGGATGGGATAATCATCATAGACTGCAAAAGTCCACATTCCTGACCAGCCCTTGTACTGGACAGGCAACTTGGCTGTAGGCAAATTGAAAGTGTTGGACTTTAAGGGTTGAATCATCACTTGGATCTCTGGGTCGATTAAATTGGGGTCCACTAAGGAAGCATGGATAGCCGACACTTGTGCTCCGGTGTCCCTCCACGCGGTGACCTTCTTCCCGCCCACACTCACAGTTTCCCTCCGCTCCAAGGGTATCTGGGAGGTATCTGGGCCTGAGGACCTCTGGTGTGATTCCGGTGTAATAAACTGTAATCTGTTGGGGTTCTTGGGGCAGTTGGCCTTTACATGCCCCAGCTCGTTACATTTAAAACATCGTCCAGCTGACGGGTCACTGGGGTGAGGTGGGTTGCTGGAGAACGGTGTGGTGGGACGGTAAGGTTTCTGGAGGGTTCCTTGGGGGGTAGTTGGGGTTTTGGGCTGCCCCCGGTAGTAGGGTGTGGTCTGAGGTTGTCCCTTCTGGTATCCGCTCCAACCGCGACCAGTTTTTTTCTTCTCTGCCACCTCCTCCCATTTTGCTCCAATCTCCCCCGCCTCGTTTACAGTTTTGGGCTTCCCATCTAGGATGTATCTTTCTATTTCCTCAGGAACACCCTCTAAGAACTGCTCCATTTGCATTAGGAAGGGCAACTCTTCTGGAGATTTAACACTTGCTCCTGATATCCAGGCATCCCAATGTTTCACAATGTGGTAGGCATGTCGGGTAAATGATACTGGTTTCCACCTTAGGGCTCTGAACTGCCGATGGGAATGCTCAGGTGTTAGCCCCATTCTGACTCTCGCCTTAGTTTTAAACAGTTCATACTGGTTCATGTGTTCCTTAGGCATTTCAGCCCCCACCTCAGCTAAGGGTCCACTGAGCTGCGGCCTCAGCTCTACCATGTATTGGTCTGTAGAGATGCTGTACCCAAGGCAGGCCCTTTCGAAGTTTTCTAAAAAGGCCTCGATATCATCGCCTGCCTTGTAGGTGGGGAACTTTCTGGGATGGGAAGTGGTACCTGGAGAAGGATTGCTAGGGTTTGTTGGTATATTCTA